GAGATTTTTTGTTAAGTGTTCGGAATACGCCTGAGAAAGCTTATTGTATAGCGATTCAAAGTTCAGTTTTGTTGTTCTGTTACTTTGTAATTCTGCTAGAAGCTGTTAATAGAAACTACATGGTAAACAATGCATAAATAACCAACTTGTTTTTTTCCATTTCATGAATCAACAATCCCTTGCTGTATTCAAGAATGTTTGAATGAAAAATTGTGCTAGTATAGAATAGCCATGTTATTTTTGCAGACGAATTGAATCGCTCATTGTTAGTATTTCATAGTTTTTAATGCGGTCCTATCCATTTAGAAAAGGCTTTATTTTTTTCAACTAGGTAGAATTATTCATTCAACTTCATTACAATTCACATTTACAAATGAAAATTCAATAATTAATTTCATTCATTCATTATAATTATAATATCAAAATTTAACAAAATCTCCGCAAACTCGATAACAAATACTGATCAAATAAAATACCTTTCCAATGAAAATTGAGGAATGAAACTTCCTATGTTATACCACTTGTATTTGTGTTTTATTTGTGTTTGTTTGAAGGTGGCTGACAATGTTTCGTGGTGTATTTCATCAGTTAGGTCTTCCATTGTCTGTGAACTTTCAATGGCTCTTCGCATTGCTGAGCACAAGAAACACACACAGCGAGGAGAAATCAGCAAATCCGGAATAGCAGAGCTTGTTTGGACTCATACATAACATCAAGTGGGCTCAAGCTGAAATCATCCACAAAGAGGAACACTGGTTTAGGAGAAAATTCAAGGAAGTCTCGTATATGCTGTTCAACAACGCATTTAGTCAAGCTAGCGTAGAGATACGTAACATATGGAAACCTCTAATAAAGCGAAAAACGACCAACTCCCACCAAACCGTCATCTCCCGCTAAAACCAATGAAGCGGAGAGAGGGAAGAGGGGATTGGTGAAAGCACTCGAATGATCTATAAATAGTCAGATCTCGGAGGAATAAGTCCAGTTATCACCCGAAGACGATTGTCGTGACGTAACTTGGTTTGGAATCTTTTAATTTTTATTTTTCATTTTTTGTTAATAATATTTTTTATTTTTTTATTTTCAGCTAACAGTTCGATTTTCTACAAATTACAACAGGTTACGGGCATTGGTCATGAAATCTAATTGTATAACTATTTTTTTGAATATTGAAAATATCGTACATCAGTGCCACTGTTATTGAATTAACTCCCTGCTGCTTCGAAATATAGAAGATTCAAATCAACAACGACGATGGAGAATATGAAAAAAAAAACTTCAATATCCAAAAATTCAATGGCCGAATCTGCCAGTTGTGTAAATATCAATCAGAGGGAATTCATATTTGAAGCTGAAGGTTTTTCAACTTTATTCATCGAAAAAACTCAACGCCCCGTCGAAAATTCGGATAATAATAATAATAATTCATTTATTTCGCTTGTTAAAAAGTACATAACACTGGATAATTATATCAGTACAATAACAAGGAAAACGTCATAAGATTAAGTGCTTTTCATATACATATATTCAAACTCAAGTATTTTTCTAAATATTTCAAAAGAATTGAGATAAAAAGATGTGCAGACACATAAAAGTAGCGAAATACTACAACAGTAAAATTGAGGGTCATGGTTATAATTGAAAAGTTTAAAATAATGGTAATATCAAATATCGACAAGAATGTTAACGAAGACAAAAAAAAACACCTAACCTAATTCCTCAAGGGTGTAGCAATTTTTTTCTATGAGAGCAGCTTTCAGTCTTGAATTAAAAATATTGATATTTGGCGCATTCTTTACCGAATCATCAAGCTCATTGTAAAATGTTGGTCCAAGAAAAAGGTGGCTTTTTTGGTATATGGTGGTTCGATGCATATGGGATATTAATAAGTTTTTAGAGCGTGTAAGGTATTTATGCTGATTAGATATAAAATTCATAAATATAAATACCCGCAACGGTGAGTATTTTGAGTTCTTTGAAAATGTTTCTACATGATTGCCTCCCAAAGTTATGAAAGAATGGGAAGAAACGACTGCTCGAACAAACAATGATTGAAATTATTTTTTCAATTCAGTGCATTGGTATAAAAGCTTGTCTTCAAACACGTTTTTTAATCGATTGTTCAATCTGAAGAAAAACAGCGGCGAACAATGATTTTTACCATAAATATCAATCAGGTAAACCTCTGTGACGCCACTGAAATTATTATCCGTAACCTGATCTCATGAAAAGAAGTCCCTTATTACTGCTAACAAATACAACAAGTTTCATTGAAATCGGCAAAATTATTTTTGAGTTATTAATTTGAAAAAAAAATAGTAAAACTTTGACACATCATTACTCGGAAACGAAGCATGTTAAGAAATTAATGACACAATTTTAGATACATGCTGTATATTGTTATATTCTGCTTTTGTTTTACACAAATATCAGTTATGAATTATGAATTACCATCGCACTATTGCCAGGCTATAAAAAGAATCTTGATAAATCTCAATTAGGTATTCAAAATGCTTAGATAACCAGATACTGAAATATTTCGAAAGTGTTTTCATGAAATCATGGTTTCGGTAGGAAATTGAAGAATTTCCGACTACCCTACCTATGTCATCCCTCTTCTGTTTCATTCGTATTACCTGGTATATATTTAGGTGAGAAGCTGATAAATGAATGACTTCTGCTGGCCCCCCTCCCTCTCCGCAGCTATAGGTACGTAACCCATTCGAACATAAGTCATTAGATAGAGATAGACCACTATGAGGGCTATGCCATCAGATAAACCACTATGAGATGCTTTTGCTTAAAAGCAGAGAGAGGACTTTCACAGAAACAAAAAGCAAGAAATACCTGAACCAAGTTCATCAGCCGTATAAAATTAAAATGCGTCCAAGATACAACACTCGTGAAGAAGAGAAAGGAGATCAGGGACCAACAATAAACAGAACAAAAAATAATAAAAAGCCACGGTTGCGTGTATATTCCAAGGAAGCATTTTCACTTTCCAAGTATGGGTATGTTCGGCGTTTTTTTTCCAATGGTGTCATATGAAATTTTTGAGTCAAAAAACAATAAACTGAGTTAATCAATATTAGGTAGGTAGGTCTAAAGTGAGTTCGATCCTCCACCGCAACTCATAACGGTTTATTGTGGCTCACACCTATTCACACTCGGCCAAATAAACCCAGCTTCTCAACGAAGCCGATTAGTTTGTATGGTGAGTGGTCTTTCAGGTTAGATGGTGAGAGTACGGATCTGCCGAACTCAAAGAACCTGATTCGGTCCCCAGCGGGACTGTGGCGATACTT